AAATATTAAGGCAGCGTAGCGGGTACAGAGTACATTCCACTATACACTTACATCATCCAAATGCCGCTTCTCTAATTTCCGCCTTATATCCACTACAATACACTTTATATTAAATAGTTAGCCCGATCCTACTATAATAATAGGGGAAGAGGGCCATACTATAAGCTCGCGTGAACGCTTAGCAAATCGTACACACTCCAGCGTAGTAACTAATTATAGGCGGATGCCCTCATAGTATCACAGGACTATAGAAGGAAGTTATAGTCTTATCTATCTCCTTAAAGATATCCACGCCCTACGGTATACCTAGCACTACTATATCTTAAGCACTAGTGCTATACTAAGCATATACCTTTAAGACTAATACAAGCTAAATAGCAAGCTTTAGGTACTAGTAGAGGGAAAACTACAATATTTAGCTTTTTCAGTACTAGTACCAAATAATACCATATAAAAGGGTACTAGGATCAAGAAATCACCGTTTAGCTTGTACCAGTACCAGAGGCACATTTTTTTGCATGATATTGGTATTAAGACACCACGGTCTAGCGTAGACCAGTACTTGGAACATCGCAAGTTTCCAAGCACTAGTGTCACTAGATATAAGTAGGTCTAGTAGGCCAACCTACACAATAGGCCAACCTACACAATAGGCCAATCTACACCTACCAGTATCGAAAAGAACCAAAAGCCATCAGAGGTTAATACTGGTACCCAGGCACCCGGATATGGGTATGGCTCCTAGAGTCTGGTTCATGCTGGCTAAAGAAAGATAGCTAATACAAGACACCAAGGTCCACATCCCCGGCCTGCAGCGGACTGTGTCATATATCGCGTAGCACGCTCCCGTTCCATGACTACCTGGAGTTATCTACATGACCCCGGCATCTGCTTATCGTTGCTATTAAATTATTCCCGGAGCTAGGCCTCTGGCCAAGTTGTAAATACAAAGCTCATATGACACTTGGATGTGGGTCAACATTTCACTTGTGAACTTCTAGGTTCGCAAACCCCTGCTATATCTGTATCTAGTTTTAATGCTGTCCTGGGCTTGTGTATTGCTGGCTATATATACAGTACTTACTGTTCTATATGTAGGTACTGTATATATATACATACATATAGACTACGTACGCTGAGTTACATATAAGACCTACCGCGTACATAGAGTTACACATAGAATAGACCATTAATATAAAGTCGCATACGAGAATTACTATATACGTAGAGTTACATACTAGCATTATAGCCCGGTTTATAGCACTTGCCCTATCTAATCAGCTTTATTACACCCACCATCCACGTTCTAATCTTAATAGCTTACTTAACCTAAACTTACTATATATAGGCTAATTTAAGGCTACCTAACTATTAGTATCCTATAGTAACCTTAGGTAGACTAGTGTAGTATTTCTAAAACTAAGTCTACCTTAGACACACCTCTATAAGTAGCTAGTTACTATATCTAGTATTATAGATCAGGTAGGCTAAAATAAACTAGTTATTCTAAATAGATATTAGAACCTCTTATAGTATTAATATATAGGGTAGACTACTATAGCTAAATACTATAGATAAGCTAATTAAATATAAGATACTTACACTATTACCTTTAGTGACTAAGTATATTAGTAGGTTAGATTTAGTATAACGCTAGGGGTATTAGATATTATATTAACTATAAATAATCACTTAGATTTAGCATAGAAGATTTAAATAAACCTATAGGCAGGGGCCTCTTTACTCTAGAGATATTTTATAATATAGACCCGCTAGCCCCCCCCCCCCCCCCACTCTTTATAAGGTAGATATTACTTTACATTAATTAGAATACTACTTAAGGATATATTATTACTTACTTATCTAATATTTAATATATATAATAGATCCTTTAAGTATATCTACTAATATTATCGCTATTATTACTACTACTATCTAATTAACTATAGTGCTCTATAGTACTATTAAAAGCTTTAAGAGCTACCTTACTAAAGTAGCTAAACTTAAAAATTAGCTATAGGCCCTTATCTATATCCTTAACTTACTATATAAACTTATTTATAAGGATAGCTATATAGGTACTCTACTTAAAAATCCTCTAAAATAATATAGTATTATATATAATAATTTTAAAACTTTACTAAAGTTATATAAATAGAATTTTAGGAATAAATAACCTAATCTCTTAAGATAAATAAAGTTAAATTATAGGAATAAAGATATTATTAGCTTTATAAAATTATTAATAAGTTATAAAGCTACTATTAATATTATAATTATAGATATTAACCTATATACTATAAAAATTCTAACTAGATTATACCTAACTAATTTTTACCTAGATATACCTTTAAGGTTACCTTAAAAGTTCTTAATAAGTATAAGACTAAGGTTAATACTACTATAAAATATTTAGAAGGCTATCTTAAGGAGATCCTAACTAGATTAAAATAGTTAAAGTAGTTAATAAAGGAGTAATCTCTTACTAAATCTACTAATATAAATCTATTAGATAAAGAGAGAAATAATATTAAGAATTATCTTAAGGTCTACTAATAATTTCAGGTTAATCTAGATAAGATGTAATTTTAGCTTATTTCTAAAAATTACTCCTTAGATACTAGTAGTAATATAATAAAATTACTAACTTAAGATATACCTATAGTAAACACTATTATACTATCTAGTTTAAAATTCTATAGTCTTAAGATTATAGATATAATATCTAGGCTAGTACTATATAAAGAGAAGACTAAGAAGAGACTTCTTATTATACCTTATAGGGTTAATAAATAAGCTAAAGAATAGGAGCTTAAACTATAGAGACTATAATATAAGCTTAATAGTACTAACTAAATACTAAGCTTCTATAAGGTTATATTATCCTAAGCTATACTAGACTAAGTACTTATATTAGAAAATATTAGTATTAGGGATAACTTATAATAGGTTTATATATTAAGTATTAGTAACCTCTTTAAAATCAAAGGGGCTACTATAGGATCTAGGTTATTTTAGTTCTTTAGGATAATACTAGCTAAGTTACTATAAGAGATAATAAAAATCTATAAGGTATATTAAGCTAATTAAAGAGGGGAAGTATTTATAAAGGAGATATATAGTAGTAATAGTAGTAGAGGCTTAAGGGTAATATAAATTTATTAATATTTATTAGAGCTTATTATCTATAGTATTAGGATTTTCTTATAGTATTACTCTAAGTTTCTTTCCTATTCTATAACCTCTACTAAATTATATTAGTCCTAGAGACTACCCCTTAGACTAAATAGTAATTAAGTATTAACTAAGAATTTACCTAAGTTTAGGGACTAAGTCTTTACTCTAAGCTCCTATAACCTACTAGGACTCCTTATTAGCTTCTACCTCACTAGCTTTATATATATATTCTTTTATTAATATAAGGAGTTAAACACTATAGTTTCTAACTTTAATCTTTATAAGATAATATATTAGGTATATAGTAGTAAGCTCTAATAGCTCTACTAGAACTAGAGAGTAAGCATACTAGGAGTTAGCTACTAGTTCTATAGTTAGACTAAATAGATTAGTAGGATAATATATAATTAGAAGTTAGGTAGTAATTAATAATTTAATAGGCTTTATAAAGGTATAACTATAGAGGGGTTAAAATTCTAAGTTATACCACCTTAGGCATACCTATAAAGTAATTCCTAACTAATTAAGCTTAAGACTTAATTAAGATAAAGTAATAGCGAAGTAGGGCATGGCGGATTAATACTAATCCACTATACTTTAACTATTCGTTAGACCCCGTTATCCAGCTATAGTCACTTAAACGACCAAATTATTATCACTTCAACGCATTATTATCCTTCTAATTTAATACTAGAGCTAACCACAATAAACATAAGGCCCTATAGACCTCCAGGCCTTATAAACTAGCACCATTTATATATTAGCAAAAGCCATTTCTAGAAAACCTAATTAGTACCACTAGCCAGCCCACACATATTAGAGCAATAGTATTATATCCCCTAATCTAATACTACCTATTTTATAGTTAATTAATTAGAAGCCTCTACATTAGTAGCTCTATCCCCCACTATAAATTAAGCTCCTCCCTAGCAGAATACTTAAGAAATAATTTAAGCTATTTATATATATATATATCTTATAGATTACTACTACTATATTACTAGTATAGCCCTTATAAATAATATATTATTAATTATAAGTAGAGTTTTAACTAGCTAAGTAAACTAAGTTATTTAGGATATTTATCCTTCCACTTAATTATACTTCCACTTAAAACCCCTAACTAGATAAGGTAAATATTATAAGGTTATATCTCTTAGTTATCTAATTAAGTATTATATAACGCTTTAAAGTAAATAGAATTACTACTATAACTACTATTTAAGTACTAAGTACTATCTATAATAAATAATTAGAAAATAATTTAATATCTTAAGCCTTAAACACTTAAATAATATAAGTAGACTAATAATAAACTTTAGGCTCTATTAAAGCGCTTAATATATTCTACCTAAAGATCTTAAACTTTACCTAGGCGATAAGTCGACCTAACTAATAGTTAGCTCATACTCTATAAAAGATAGCTAATATCTTATTATACCTACTGAAGCGGACTATAGCGATCTAGCCTTGTTTATATCATCCGGCATAGGCTATATAATTAGGAATATAGTCGCAGATACAGATGGGCATTAAATTATTATTTCTATAACTGGTGAACAAGTGAAGGTGGATAGTTTAGTTTCCGGCATAAGAGTAGTGCAGTTTATAGGGTCTATTTTAAATAAATCTCTACAGTTATACTTTCAGACGCGAGCTAGGAGGCTGTAACCATAGCCTTGTGATTTGCCATAGTTAAGTAAAGTAAGGCAAGTCTGATTGCCATATTTTGCCCACGTCATGGTAATAAGCACAGCGTGTCTGTCATTATGCCGTCGCAGTTCGTGAGGCCGATACATAGGCCGAGTCGCGGTCCGGATCCGTCACTCGCTTTTTTGTACCTGCTGCTTCCGGTAGTAGCTCCGCGTCTCTCTGTCGACCCTGACTGGTGTTGATTGATGCCAGTCCGGATACCACCCCAAGGGTTACCTTACGAGTCTCCATCACCTGCACCTCAAGCTTCTCTGCCTCCTCCCATCGGCCCTGGCTCCTGTATGTTGATGATAAGCTAGCTATGCTCATCAGCGTAGAAGGATGGTCGGCTCCAAGCTTCATCTTGCGAGTCTCCATCACCTGCACCTCGAGCTTCTCTGCCTCCTCCCATCGGCCCTGGCTCCTATATGTTGATGCTAGATTGGCCACGCTCACTAAGGTGGAAGCATGGTTTCTCCGAATAACCCCCTTCGAATACGCATTGCCTCTATATTTAGCGCTTCTGCATCACTCCATTTCCCTTCGAAGCTAAGGTATGCGGCCATATAATGAAGAAGGGATGCTTTTGCATTAGACTCCTCTCTTGACTTAAGCCTGCACGATTGTAGCACGGCGTTTGCATGCGATAAGTATGCGGCTCATATTACCTGAGTTTCATATTCACTATAGGGATAAAGGTGTGATACCACTATTAGTGCTTCCTTTCTGAACCTGCTGATTTTACTAGTGCTGGTAAGCTACTTACGCATCACCGACTGGACGAGGTGATGTATATTGTAACTTCCACGATTATTTTCAGTTATAAGAGAGAAGGCGCCAAGAACTGCTAATGCGTTAATAAGCTGTATGTCGCTTAGTGGTTCCTCACTTTCTTTCCGCTTAATATAGTATGAAAGAAATCGTGCTGGAATATCTTGACGATTAAGAAGGCTTATAAAGGAGAGGAGCTCACTGGCCAAGATATGCTGCTGCTTAATAATCTGGAACGAAATAAGCCACGTTTGTGCCACGGCCCGGGGATATAATGAGTCTCGCCTAACAGTCTCAAATTCCTCACTTGATAGGTGTACCACATTCTTGTCGCCCTCGCCTAGTAGTTGGAGGTATTCCGCTACTGTTATACACGCCTCTTGGATGAAAGCAGCGGCCTGGACAAGAGCCAGCGGCAGATATTCTAATTGAGATGATAATGATGATAACTCTGCAGGTGTTGCCCTGATATTACCAAACGCGGCGAGAAGTAATTATTCTAACTCATCTTCGTTTATACAGCATACCTCAACAGGCTGCTGACCTTTAGCTAGTCGGACACCTAATTACTTATCCCTTGTCGTGACTATAAGAGACCCATGGCGGCACTCAGGCAAGTATACTAAGAAGTGGCCTATTTTACCCGTGCTAGTTAAGTTCGAAGCAGCTGCTGATGATGGACCAAAGAAGAGCTGCAAATCATCTGCGTTATCAAGAACCATGAGCCATTGGCCATGGTCCTTCTCTTCCAGCCAGCTTCTTACTAATAGTAAGATATCAACTTTTAGATCAGTATAGCCAGGGATCTAATACTCTTCCGCAATCGATATATACGACTGGCGGAAGTTGTTGGCGCTACTAGCATGAACCCATAAGATGGATATAGTAGGGTGTGTCTCTTGCAGCCAGTAAATATAAGCCAGCGCAATCTGTGTTTTCCTGCCTAATATTAATAACCCCTCCCCTGCAATCATAGATAGGGCTCAAGAACCTACCCAACGCCGCCTAAGCTAAAGAGTGATGCTCGTAAATGAGAGGTTGCAGCTTTCTGCTGTATATAGCCCAGGCTCTTCTTAAGCTGGTGTAAGATACCCTAGCGTCTAATAAAATCCGGATTGCTAGGATATGGTACAATGACTATAATCAAATTAGTATATAAATCCCTGCCCCTCATTCTGTACACGCACACTTTGTGTTGCTTTAATTATTAACTTGGCCTACAAATAAAGGCTCCCAAAATTCTAAGAAGCCCTTTGCACAAGCTGCCGCTATTGCAGCTGCATACGGCTGCCACACCTTGGTCTTGTGACTATCAGCATAGTCGCAGGCGCCCTTTATCATTATACAGGGGAATGTATCCCAGACTCCAGCACCCTCCATTTCAAAGCCGATGATGCTCTCCTGCTTTGCAACCTTATCGCGCTCTTTCCCAGACTTCATCGCTGTATCGCCGGAAGCGATAATTCCAAAGTGAACCGCCGGTTGTATATTTTTTGTTTCAAAGCGACGCCGTGGTATAAGGTCTCCATTGCATCCACATTCTTCACAGGTCTTCGCATCCCCGAGGTGGCGATAACTAGCCTCAAATAGCTTATCGTGGGCTGGGCCTGGATAATGCGCTTGGAAACCTAATGTTTTCTGTAGATTTCTCAGATGACTGCTAATGTTCTCTTTCAACTTCGCCCTACCACGCCAGTTCTCTAGCTTCCCCAATAGCGCATGGATCTCCAAATTAGTCCTACCTATGTGGTCTAATAGTGTGTTTTTGCGCGAGCCCGAGGATGGACTAGAACGGTAAGTCATCGAGTCGCATAGCAACGGGATGCCGACCTTCGAGACCACTATCTGCATAGAATTTCAAAATACAAATCTTATCAACTTATATTTATTAATAAGTCTAGATGCGATAGGAGAGCAGGGTATCAGCATTAGAGCTAGTCCCCGAAGGGAACTTCACCAGTTAAGGTGACTAAGTTTAATCATAGAAGGAGATAGTATATCCTTCCTACATACGCCTAAGATAGAATTATATTAAGGCCAGTATAGTAAGGATCTACCAATAGCGACTTATTTAAGGACTTTATTACGTAGTTACTATATTATTATAGCAGATACCTAGAGTTAAAATCTATACTTATTATAGATAATGCTTCCTAGCACTATACAGAGAAGCTCTAGTAGATATATTAATAAGTAGGAGTCTATCTAGAATACCTATCACCCTACTCGCCAGATTTTAATCTAATTAAAGAATACTTTAGAGATATTAAAAGGTTTATTAAAAAGACTATATATAAAAATGAAGTGTTTTATTAATAGGGTATTTAATATATATTTAGATTAGTGTGCAGATGTAGTAGGAGATAATGAACAGGCTATAGAGAATCATTCTTATCACGCAGGGATACCCATTACATATCCTCCGAAATAGATAATTGCTTCTTGATACAATTTGGAGCATAACCAGCTTCCTCTTTATAAACATTAAATGAATGTTGACTGATTCTCCGCATAGTGTTATTTGCTACAGAATGCACTTTATATAGAACATACATGATTTGAGACTTAGCATCAAAGCAATTCTTTATTCCATTTTCTTGGACTTGGCCTGGATATCGGCTCCCCCTTGTTCTTTTATGTGCTGTTTTAATGTTATTTCTCTCATTAATTTAGAAGATCTCTTTTCGTAGACTTGGAATTAAATTGAGAGCACCTGAAAAGATTGAATACAAGGATATCATATGTAGCCGTCCAGATATTAATCAATCTCTTTTCTGACCACTGCTTGTTAGGATTCCAGCACAACCCCAGAAAAGTGATAGACAAGTAAGAATGATAGTCATCGGGACAGAAGCATTCTGTAAATCATCTGGATGAAATCGGAGCCACCATCCCCAGAATGTAAGTGGTCCGGCTATAATGCAGCAATGATAGACGAGGACATAGGCAGTAGACAGCTCGAATACCGCTTCCAATCCCCATATAGGAGAATCTAGATCCTTCTCAAAACTACGCCTCCGCTTAGGGATCCGCTCCAGAAACACGCAGCCTGTTGAGATAGATATACATTGGTGAGGAACAGGCCATGTGCAAGGCGAGGAGCAGGTATAGAAAAGGGTCTTGAAAGAGTGGGGAGAAATAGGTGGGTTTTTAGCACCCCTATCGCGACGGGGCTCGTACTTATACTCTTGGTGGGTTGGCAGGTCTCTGTGGTCGCGGGCCATGTAGTTGAGAGCCAGTCTGTCAAACTAGCAAAAGTCAGTATCGCTTGAAATGCGCAACTCATGGGACACATACCTTTACGACTTCACAATATTCTAAACGCCAAATAGAGAACCATAATCTTAACCAGCCTCGTTGCGATTGATAGCATCTCTTCAAATCCTGAAAGACGCTATAGTCTGTTGCTTGGCTTTTAACTTGTATCTCGGAGGGTATCAGGATTGGCGATGCTCCTTGGACGCCGAATAATATCCAGCTTTCGTCCTGCGCGCTCGGAAAAGGTGTAGATAATGAAGTTTGCTGTCTAGTTATAGAATTCCGCTGACGGGTCTGAGCTGGGGCAGAAGCAGCGGACGCAGCGCTGCTCTGTTGGGGAGATTGGTGTTCTAAAAGTGATGGAGATGCTGCTTTCCCAGGCGGCGTGTATTTCTGGGCTGCGGATGAATCCAGAGGTACTGATCCTGAACTACATTGTCGGAATAAGCTCTTTAACCAGGTTGTAAGAGATACACTTTCTCCCTTGAGTGCACACAAGTACGTCGATTTAGGCTCGAGGTCTAAATAGTCAAGAATGGTTTCCACAAGCACGCGTTGTTCATCGGAAATTTCCTGCCATTGTTCGGCACCGCAACTCTTGTAGTCATTAGTGTCATATCCGCAACATGGAGGTTTAAACTTACGCATCGCCAGAACATCCGTGCCTCGTTATGCTGCAGCATTCGTTTCCGTGGACTTAAAGGCCACCAGTTCCACCTTAACTGAGTATTTTCCTCTACCAAGGTTTTCATTTTGTTGGAAAGCGAGAGTTCTTGCTCTTGTGATACCCAGATATCCATTCTGGGTATTGATTGAAGTACTTGACTTAGATCCAATGGTATTAAAATGAGCATGAAATCTTTCTGCAGTTTTCGAAATGATTTCGACTGACGTAGAAATAATCTTAGGTCAGAAGTAACTGGGAAGCTGTCTCTTTCGACGTCTTCTTCGGAGCTGGAGGTCGAGGAGTCGTCATCTATGCCCTGAACGGTAACCTCCCATTTTGAACCACCTGGTTTACCTGCAACTCGCGCTAACCATGTTTCGATTTGGTGCTTGTCTTTCAGGAGAATCGAGTTATCCTGAACATCCTCCTCCCCTTGCGCTATATAAAGAGCGAGCTGATCGCTGATGCGTAATCTTCCTCGTCTACTACGTAGTAATCTAGCAACAGCTTTTTCGGCTTCACTTTGAGCTTCTGCTAAAAGATTCTTGTAAAATGCTTTCAATAATCGTCGCAAATTCTCCACGAACCGATTTCTGCCTAGCTTATGCAAAGCCTTCAAGCAGGTTGCTTTGAATTGTAGTTCCTCGGCAAGGAATAATCGTATAAGAGCGTTACCGGTCATTTCTTCGGTCGTTGTTTCATCTGAAGCTTGGGAATCAATGTCATCGTCATCGGAAATAATGGACTGTATTTCATCGCCCTCATGGCTGGCCTCGTGTGATATCGGTGTAGTTGCTGGTTTGGTGCTACCTCCCATTACTGATCCTGGGGCTAAGATGAGTGTATCTGACGGAAACTTGGAGGCCGGAGTTTTTACAAGCACGAAACCCGGGCCATGGCGATTACCGAATAGCGACTAGGGGCTCGCCGGTGGAGCTTCATCCCCTAATAGTGTTACCGAACGTTATTTCTCCTGCTCTATATAAGCGCTCTAGTAGATAGTAATACTCTTAAAGTCTTAGGATATCTATTAAAGGGAACCTTCTCTAAAATATCCGCTAGCCTGCTTTTGCCTCTTACTAATACCTTAGTTATTTCCGTTAATTAGCTTATTATTTATTAAAACTAAAAACTAGATTATATTATAGCCTTCTATATAATTTTCGATATTACTAATCTATAACTCTATATAGTTATTAATATCTAAGTAAAACGCTAAGTAGTACTATAGCATCTTAGCCTTATTCTAAAGTTTATTAAAAGAGGCCTACTCTTCTATTAATACTATATTAAAGCTAGTACCTAATTTCTTAGTAATACTTTTCTAATATTCCTTAAGATAAGCTAGCGTAAAGTATATATAGTATATATAACCCTAGAGCCCCTTGCTAAATAGTATCTCAAAGGTTAAATCAGGATCTTAATTATTCTAAAAATTAGTCTAAATTTATTTAATTTGCTCTAAAAGAATAGTATAGAACTAAAGAGCTTTCTCTATACTTAGTTATTCTTTCTCTATATAGTAATAGATAACTATATTTAGGAAGGAGTTAGTAATAATATATAGAGAGAGAGCTTTAAGTTTCTATAAAATATCTTTAAGGTAGGCCTCTAAATTAATAGTTAAGGTTATAATTAAGTCTCTATAGGTCTAAATAGCTTTAGTACTAGTAGTAGATATATAGCTAAATAAGTGATATTAGTTAGTAAGGTTAATTAACTAATAAGGCTAAATACTTATAGATTTATAAAGCTAAGTATAATAGTTATAGTAGACTTATATCCTATAAGCTATTATTAGAAGCCTATAATACTATTACTACTACTATATTTTAATTTAAGCTAATTATAGAAGCTTATATAATTAAGGCTAGATTAGGAATAGTAGGTAAGAAGCTCTATCTTAATATAATTATAAGCTTATATACACTACTCTAATATAAGTCTTAAGGCGCTAAGATCTATATTAAGGCTAAGATCACTAGTTTTAGAAAGGGTTTTTAAGGTAAAATTTAGACTAGATAGTTCTATTAGTAGCTCGCGAACTTAGCTTAGTTAAGAGTGGAAAGACTGAATTTTAGCGCGTAGTTTGCTAGTAGACTTAAAGGCGAAGGTAGCTAGAGTTATAATGCCTAAGGCTACGCTAATTAACTTAGCTATTGGATGTTCCCTAGCGGCTGCCTTGTAATAGTGAATAGGAAATGAGGGATCACAGCTAGGAGGTTGTAAGGCTCGCACCTGGATTTGTATTATAGGTTAGGCGCCCTGGGGACAATACTAGGCATATTACAGGGTCGGCATATGCCCCACCGAAATTCGGGCAACTAATAAGGTTAAGCATTTTAGCGCCGAGAAATGTCTCGCTACTCTGGACTTTAAGGATGATGTCCGGATATCAGCTGGTATAGTCGAGGCTTCGTTGGTTTTGTTGTACATCACCTGGCTCGATACTCTGTTCACCGATCGAATTTCTTGCTCAAATATAATAGCTATAATGACCTGAGGACCCGAAAATGTAAAATCGTCCTTTTATTTAAGACCACCATCTCACTAGCTTTCTAATAAAACACATCGCTCTTAGCGAGCTCGCAAGGTAGTAATAAGTTATTAGCTTAATATAGCTTAAGCTGCTTAATAGCTAATATTTAACTAGGGATTAAATAGGTGGTCTATATATAAACCTTCCATTATATATAGTATAATAATAAGATCTAATACCCCTCTTACCTATACTTTACATTAGCTTTATCTTAAGCTCACTTAATATAGCTAACCTACTAAGCATTACCGCCTTAATTATTATATTAGTTATAGCTGCTATTTAGTTAATAAAATCTCTTAATATAGCTATTAAGAGGTATATAGAATATAATAAGACACTATAAAGGCTATAGAGCAAACTTAACAACTTAACTAAGGTCCTAGAAGCCCTTATTATAGTTTATAATCTTAAGTTATTAATTATATCCCTTTTAGAAGGACCTATTAGTTAATATAGCTAACTTTACTATGATTTTAAGGCTATAATAAGTATATTTAGTAGGAAATTATAGGCTAATTTTTAGGATTAAGTAAAGATAGAGTTTATAAGAGGTAATATCTATAAGTTTATAAACACCCTAGGAGGGTATAAGTTAATAATATTAATAGGACTAGGTATTATTACTATATTAATTTATTATCTTAGAACCTTTAACCTCTATTCACTTATATAAGACTCTTTTATAAGTAAACCTCTAAACTATCTTACTAAGTTCTAAAGGAATATAGTAAGGTTATTAAAGATACTATATATAATCTTAATATTTACCTAAAGTATATTAATAAGAAAATAAGGTTATTTACTAAAAGGAACCTAAAGACCTCTAATACTAACTTAGACCTAAATATAGATCTTTAGGATAAGAAAATAGTTATAGAATAATACCTTTATATATATAAAGATATAAGCTCTTATCTTAAATCTATAATAGACTAGGAACTATCACTATAGCTATAGATAGGTCTATATTATACTACTATAAATACCTATAATAGTTTTAAAGCCCTATTACTTACTTATAAAGCTCTAAATAATTATTAAGACTATTTTATAGAGATAATAAGCTATATAAATATACACCTAGAGATCTTAGTAATAGATAATAGCCCTAGAAGTAATAAGGAGAGGCTTTAACTAAAAAAGGATATAGAGGTCTTATAGTAATACCTTAAAGTATATAAAGTAGCCTTTAGCTAAGTTTTAATATAAAAGATATATTAAATTAGAGAAGTAGTTACTAATAGAAATAGTAATTAAATACTAATTACTTTACTTACTAACTTATTTAATATTTAAAAAGTACTATCCTAAGGTAAATCTATATAATTACTTAGTTTAATATTTAATAAAATACTTTAAAAAGTATCTAAGCTATAGTATAGTAGCTATTTTAGAAATAATTATATTAATAGGGACCTTAATATAATATAGCCACTATAACCTAAAAGCTAAAATATTTAAACCTCTTATCTCTATATTAGTAAGAGTAAACCTACTATAGGGCAGGAAAGACCTACCTCTAATAAAGTTAGGAAATAAGTAGTAGGAGGGGAGTACTAAGCACTTATTACTTAGCTTATTACTTGGCTTATTATATACTAAGATTTAGAGAGATTATTAATAGAGATGTTATACCACTTAGTGGTGTATTTCCTATAATAGGGCAGGGATAATACCTAGGATATATAGCTTAGGAGGGAGTATAGAAGATAGTGATTAATAGAACTAATAAGAATACTTAATACTAATCCTATTTTATTATACTATACTAACGGAATACTAAAGCTAACTCTTATCTTAGACCTATAGCATTATAGTTAGGAAGTATTTCTCTTTTAGGGGGGCTATTAAGATATTACCTTAAAGACTACACTATAAGAGTTTGCCACGCTATAGATAATTTACTAATTATATCTTTAAGTGAACTAGAAGATTAGTCTCCTATATATAATAATCATAACTGCCTTATAATTCCAGGTATATATGAGGGTTAGGTGTTTTTGCGTTCCAGCTCAAATTACATAATTCACTAGAGTTTTATCTAGGCAAATGGGTTAATAGAAGCTGGAGGAAATATGAAAAAACTGCTCCTTGTATGGTTTATTCAAAAAGACGTTTACCTCTTAGACACTGTTAAATAAGTTTTTCTTTTCTTCTAGTTCTTGCTAGATTATGCCTACTGCCGTTTATAGCTGGTTGAAAGTATAGCTCATCCCATGAAACGACAAGGGGAGATTTACAAAACCCTAGTACATAGGAACTCAGAGTCTTATTCGCCCTATCACCCACCCCCCTAGCCCTAGTTAGAGTCTAACTAGTCTAAGACTAGTATTTAGGCTTTAGGAGGTAACTAAGAGATAGAATAAGGACTATTAGGTCTAGGCTACTTATTATATAGCTTAGGGTTAAAGTCTTTATACATTATATTATACTATTAATATATATAATTAAAGGGTAAATTAAATAAAGTATTTCTTAGTAGAAGGTAGCTACTATTAAGCTAGTAGATTTCCACTACCTAAGTAGGTCTATTAACTATATAATTATCTACTATAATAATATCTCCTTAGAATATAAATAGACTATAGTATTAACTAGTTAGCCTACCTATCTATATAGAGATAATAAGAGGTAAGCTTTACACCCTAGGTTCTCTTATATACTTCTATAACTCTTATAATATTAGATTATTCCTTCTAAAGAATAATTTAAGCCCTCCTAACTTTAGGCTCTTTATATAGAAACCCTTCTTAGTAGTAGATTAGTCTAATATATACCCCTACTATCTAGGCCTACTATAAAAGTAGCTTTAGTAAGCTTTTTATATATTAATTTATAGAATCTTATAGGAACCTAGTTAAAACTTAATATAGATATAGTTAAATAGTAAAATATAGTAAAACTATAATTTATTAGACACCTAGTGCTATACACCCTCTATTAATAGTAATAAAATAACCCCTCTACTATAGTGATTAGAAAACTCCTCTATAAATTCACCTTTCTTAATTTATAGTATAAGAGTAATCTAATTAAGCACTAAGTTAGGATTATTATTTTAAGAGGAAATCTAGATATTCTCTATATCTAATCTTATAATAATATTAATTATCTTCTAGTAGCTCTTATTTAATAATTACCTACTAATATACTATAAATATCCTTTTAGAGTAAGGCGCCTTACTATTATAAGGTCTCCTATAGTTAATATAGAGAAATTATAACTATTATTAGCTATAGTAATATCTTTAAAGATATTCTATTATTAATCTATT